TGCGATGGCCCTTTTTGGTACTCGGCGTCCCTGGAGACTGGCTTCCAAGCTCGAGGAGAATGGTTCGTGATACGAATTGAGGGCTTTCGCGGCCAGAGGAGACAGCCTTGCCACCGCGTGACTCGATATTGATAGGGGCAGTCGGTCGAACGTCAGTCGCGATCCCGAAGAGAGCTGTGGCCAGCAACAGTACCCGGAACCGTTGCCAGAGTCCTGAGTCGAGAATTCGGGAGGCGGCGGCGAAGGACTTATGGCGTGGTCGTCGAACTGAATCCGGGGGTTCGAAGAAAAAGAGGCCGGATTGTCGATGCTCGGAGTGGCATTGTGTGATGGGAATTTGGGCAGAAAAGGCTGTTGAACGGCAGGGATTGAGGTATCGTCCCATGCGTTTTCTGGTGTTGAACGTGTCGGCAAAGGCTGGCTTGAACCGGTGTACATGGTCGTTTGTTACGAGTCGAGTCGTCGTATATTCGAGTCGTCTCGAGGAAGAGCTCCAAGCGATTTGTCGCGGAGGTACAGGTCGGCGACGATGTTGAGCTTGTGGAGCGGAGGGGGAGGGGTGGCAAGGCCAGGTGATCCGCGACGGCGGCGCAGCACGGGCGACGGAAGCTAGCCTCCTGTTTGAGAGCAAGACAGCAGGCCTAGGTCAGTCTCCGAGATGGTCCCAATCATAGAATCTGCAGCAAACAAGGAGATCGCGAGGGACCTTGCTGGACCTACCTACGTCCTTGGGGATGCAGTCAAGTCAATGACAGACCCTTGGCTGGGGAGGGAAAGCCACAGACAACCACCGGAGGGTCGAAAAAGGAGGGAAGGAGGGGCGCGTGTTGTTGGCTACTGATGCAACATGAAAGGCGTCGCTTGTTGGGCGGACTGGGCTGTGCTATGCTCTGTGTCGGGGCTGGTGTTGAGACAGCGGGCCGGGAGGGGAGCTGAGGCGCGGCAAAGCGCAAAACAGATGACCGACGGGGGCGGGTTAGAGGGTCCGAGATGCAGGAAAGATGAAGGTCCGTCTTGGGGGATATCTGACGGAGCCGAGCTAGCTGCGAGTCGGCGGCGAGTGACGTCCTTGTCGTGGGAAGAGCGACAGCAAAAGCGACGGCGGCAGCGACTTGGGAGAGAGAGAGGCGAGAGAAAGACTTGTCGATGGCGCCCCCAGACCCTGTGGTTTGGCGGCGCTGGGTTGACAGAGGAGTGGTCACGTTAAGACCCGTGTTCGAATGAGTAATTGAACAAGAAGGGCTAGACTTTGAGTCCAGGCGCAATAGCGCAGGGCCAAAAGGGGACGATTGTAGGGATGTTGCGACAGGAGGATGAAAGGATGGGGCGCCTTTGTTAATGAAGCAAGGTAAGTAAGGTAGGTACCATGTACCAGAAGTAGGTAGCGTTAGTAGGCAGGCAGGGTGCTATTGCAGGGAACTTGAAAGGGTTTAGGCGCTCCCCTTGCTGATGGGATGACCTGAATGTCAAGCCACGGCAGGCTGAGTACCTGTAGAGGAAGCGGGCAAAGGAAGGCAAGGAAGGAGGGCAAAGTCGGACAGAATTGTTGAGGGGGCAGCTGAGTCGACAAACAGATAGGCAGACAGACGAGACCAGCGACCCTGCTGGCAAACAGCAAGATAAGGTACCCTCCTCGTTCTTGAATCTTGCAGCAATGAGGGGGGGCGTCTGAGATGGCCCAAGAGTCTCCCCTCACAGAGGTACCTCACTCACAGACAGCGCAGCGAGGTGCTACAAGATAGGGAAGGGGCAAGGGGTGTTGTCCGCCCCACATTTCTTCATCGAAACAATTTGTGCGGGGCGCTCGTTGTGCTTTTCCCATTGGCTCTCATCTTGATGGCGGTGGTCAATGGCACAACATCTCTACGTCGTAAGGCTGGAATTGCGGTCGTCTTTTTGAATCCCATGTTTGCCGATGCGACTTTGTCAAGACGCTCCTCCGTCAGGGTCGATTCTGTTGGAATCTGAGCACCTGCGATCTGTGATTGAGTATCGAAGTGAGATCGTTCGCACACTCGAGGCCTATCCACGATGCTAGCGCCAGCTACCCCGCTGCCAGAGAGAAGTAGAAGAGAGGGTCATGAAAGGGAAGGCACGTTCGCGACTCAGACTAGACCGGAAGCCAAATGGAGAAAGCCACGCTAGACTAGTACCTGCCTCGAAGCTCATCTCCCGCATACGGCACTGGCCTTGCCGGCATGCCGTCAAGTACCTTTCTACTGGGTCAACACACAGGAGACACCACTTG